AAAGGAAAACAGGACCTCAGGACCCAAACTCAGTAAGCCACAGGCAGGAGTCGGGCTGGAACCAGGCCGCGCACCCTGCCCTGCATTCTCTCCCCGTGTAGAAAGCTGCACACTTCCTTCACGCTTCGGGTCACAAGGATCCGTGCGCGAAAGCAGTTGCGATGAAATTCACCCTGACCGTGAAACGACAGCTCACCCTCACTCGCTGGTGCGGGGCCAGGACAGAACCGGGAGTCACGGCTCTGCTGTCCGCCGGCAAGGGCACACCTGACAGCCTCGCCGCCCCGCACTGACTGCGTCGTATGTAGACGTGCGGATCCACTGAGGGTGAGACCCGAGGGCTCTTCCTCTCCCACCATGCGTAACGCGTGGGTTCAGTGAACGCTGAGCGAACACTGCCTGCCTCTGCCTCTTATCTGCCCTCCCTCTTCTTTCTTCCCCTAATATGCTTCATTTATCCTTTAAATATTTAAGTTTCCAGCCTTCTTTCCGAAGAAAAGCCGGGACCACAGAGGGTTCCCGTAACCTCGGCAAATAAACTGCCCAAGTGACTGAGTCCTGAGTCGCTGTCTATGACTTACAGAGGTCACCATCCCCCACGCAGGAGCCAGGGCTGTCCGAGAATCCCTGGGTCAGGTCCAGGGAGCTGCACAAGACGTGGTCCCAACAGGCAGAGGACAGAGGTGGCCCACTCAGTGCCACGCATGATGAGAGGACCCTCCACAGCGCACTCAGCACCAGACATGGGGGGGGGGACCCTCCACGGCACACTCAGCACCAGGCATGAGGGGAGGACAGCCCCCACTCACCTCAGGGTCCCTCAGGTGCCTCTGCCCACCTCCAGCCAACACCTGGCGAGGCCTCCGACATTCACGATCCCCAGCGAACCTGTGTTGATTCAGCCACGACCAGCCCCGCACCCAGGCCTGAGCACTTAGCCCTCCCCTTGGCACTGCCTTCCTGATGCCCGTCCAGACCACAGGAGAGGCATGAGAAAGCCTCGCACTCTGAGCAGGGGCATCCGGCCTCGCCCACCCAAAGAGGCCTGGGAGCTTTGCAGGAGAGGCAACCACGAACCCCAGGTCCACGAGGCAAAGGCCTCCTCACACCCGAGGCCCGTGAGCCAGGAGCAGGTTCAGACCCGAACACAAGGCCACGCCAGGAGAGCCCCTGGTCACCCACTGGACAGGCCCAGCCCAGGGGGAAGGAACGGACGTCTCACACCCAATGCCACCCCACCCTCTGCTGCGGAGGACGCCCCGGCCCCTCTCTAACTGCCACTGTATGCAAACACACACCGTGTGCACACACACGAGCATGCCTACAGATGTACAGGAGCAGTGTACATGTGTGTATGCACACACGTGTACACAGTACAACACCCATGTGCAGACACAGTGCCAGCACACACAGCTCACACACAGACACCATATACACCTGCACACTCACCAGGCACACACGTGCCTGCACACGTGCGCCCAGCCAGCTGACCTAAAGCCCCAGGCTTTATCACGGGACTGCTAAGGACAGCCTCAGCCTGGAGACAGCCTGGGAGTGCGTCCGGCGTGGGAGGAAGCGCGGCCCGGCCTGGATGCCCAGCAGCCACTGCGCTCCTGTGTCTTTGTTTCCTTTAGTTTTAAAAAGGGAACTTCACACACAAAATGCGCGTCTTGCAGCCTCCCTGCCCGCCCTCCACCTACCCTTGACCGTCCACACCCGCAAGGCGGTGCCCGACTGCTGCCCTGGCTCCTGGGCCCCGACGCAGGGTCAATGCCCCCACCGTCCCTCCTGCTCCGACTGCCTCCGTGCAGTGTTGGGGCACCCTCCCGAAATCCGGGGACAGTGAGAGCTGCCACTTTCCGTCCCTACTGGGCAGGGCAGAGCCTGGACACCCTCTCTAATGCATGATCCCCCGAGTCCCCACATCCCAAAGGGGGCCCTAGATCAGCGTGGCCGCCATGCATTGCCCTGCTCTGTTCCCGAGGGCAGCACAGAGCAGAGCACCCAGCACCCGACAGGCAAGGGTGGCCCAGCACGGCTTCCAAGTAGGGACAGGAAGTGGCAGCTCTCATTGTCCCCAGATTTTGGGAGGGCGCTCCCAACACAGGCAGGGGAGGCAGCTGCAGCAAGAGGAACAGGCAGTTGCTGACCCCACGGCCAGGCCTCCGTCAGCAGCCACGGGCAGGAGGCAAAACCACCCCTGGACGACCAACGCGAGCTCAGCCACAGCGGAAAATCTCGGAAACGGAGCCCAAAGGGGAACGGCACCCGAGCCAGGAAGAAGCTCCGGCAAACCCGGGAGAGCCCCAGCTGAGGGCGGGAATCCGGGGGCCCTGGACGAGTGGAAGTCACTCCTAGAGAGGCGGCGGGCACGGCCTGTGGGGTCTTGCCGGAGGCTCTGCTCATCCCACCTTCCAGACAGGCCGGGGCACCGGCCAGCCCACCCTCCCTGTCCTTCCCCACCCCTCCCGGGGCCTGCTGTGTCCCAAGGCCTCTGGACACCCCCGGACAGCCTGGGAAGGAGTGGGTCTACCCTGACATGGTCACGGAGGAAGGTGGGCTCCCCCAAGTCAGTTACACAACCCACCCTACCCTGAAGTCAGACAGGACGCAGCCTGGCCCCAGCAGGGTCCTCCCACTTCCTACTCACAAAAAACCCACCCCACTGAGAAAGTCACGTGTCCTTCTCACTTCAAGATGAGGTATTTCACATAAAAGTAAAATCAGGAATAAAAGCTCCATCCAAAGAAGTCCTGAGGGACAGTGCTGGGGACAGGAAGCCTCGCGCACAGGCTGCCAGAGGCAGAGGGAAGCTGCAGGGGTCTGGGACAGGGGGTCCGTGGGGCCAGGCTGGGGACACCCAGCCTTGCCAGACTCCGGGTCGAGCCAGAGCCCCTCCTCCCCTGGGACCCCTCAACCCGGGCTCAGGACATGGAGTCTCCTGCTCCTCAAGCCAGGTGGCTCAGGATGCCCTCTCCACGCCCACCTGGCACTCCCAGGAGCAGAGGAGCAGCCCACCAGACCCCTAAACTCACTTCGCCGTCACCCAAGTGCCAGCCCAGAAACCCCAGTGCCTCCACGGACCCATCAGGGGAACTGCAATGGGGTCAGGAAGAGCTCTGGTGCTGGTGACTCCTGTGCCCAGACAGGTTTGGGCCTGGCCCAGGACCTCGTGGCGTGGACCCCGTGCAGCAGGCCTGCGGAGGGGCTCTGGCTTCTGCAGGACCCACCCCTATAACCATCGAAGTGTAAAGCCAGCACCTCTTTCTCCAGGCCTGGCCCAGCCTGAGGCTGGAGCCCAATGCCCGTCACGGGACTCCTAGGCCCACCTGTGGGCTGAACATCAGGACTCGATAGAGTGGATTCGGAAAGGCAGCTGCACGCCCCTCACAGCCAGACAGTGGCTGAGCACCGGGCCCCTCTGTGGAAGCGAGTGTGTCCAGCACAAAAGCCCCAGGTGCAAGTTCTCTGCCAGGTCAGCTCCCGCCATAGGGGCACCTTAGAGTGTGCAGAAGCCACATCCGGCCCATGCCCTCTAGGTGCCGATTTCACAAAGCCCAGGGAGCCTGCTGACACGCCCGTAGCAGGACCTTAGTGCTCCGGCAGCAAGATGGGCACCTCGGCAGGGCCACCGCCTGCTGGGCAGGCAGGCCCAGGGCGCCACTGCACAGCCCTTGACAGTAGGACAAGAAAACCGGCAACCACAAAGTTACCTCTGGCTTAAAAGTACCTGGCACTTGAAGTCTAGCGAGGAAAGCCAACGCGGTCCGTCTTCAAGAGGGGCCACCCTGGCAGAAGACGCTCCTTCTGGGTGCGTTGCTACACAGCTCACCTCGGAAGACCCCGCCAGGGCCCACCCGCCGCGGGCTTCCTGCCTCAGGTGGTCACCAGAGAGAAGGGGCCTGGACTCACCCACCCTGCTGAGCACTTCACCTGGTGTGGAGCGTGGCCTCTGTGCAGAGGAAGCTGAGACCACCCTTCACTCACTGTGGGAACTCTGATGACGCACCCCAGGCCAGTGCCTTCACAGTGGGGCCAGACCCACGTCCCTGGGCTTCAAAACTGCCCCGAGGGGACTTTCCAGCTGGGAATGGTGGGTTACCAAGGATCTGGGGTCTGGCACAGAACCTGTCCCTGGACTGACCTCACCTCCTTCCTTCCACTGCCAGGGAGAAGGGAGGCCGCCACGCACAGCCGCAGACCCGGGCACACGTGGGCACGGCCAGCACGGGGGTGGGGTCTGGATTGAGTCCCACCTTCGAAGAGACTCCAGTTCCCGGCTGGGCTGAGACCCCGGGAGTAACGGGGATTGGAACCAGGATACAGGGGACAGGGCTGGGGGGATTCCCTCCTCAGCCCCCGTCCCCACCCCCAGAGAAAGTGAAAGTGCTAGAATCTCCAGATTCCGGGGGGAGGGGACCAGAGGACGCGGCCTGAGCGAGGCCCCGCGGCCGCCCCCTCCCCAGCCGCCAGGCCCAGTCCTTCCGGTTCTGGCCCCGGGGGGCGGGTGGCTCCTCCAGGGTCAGGCGGGGGCGGGACGGGCCGGCCCGGGCCAGTCTGACCGGACGCAGGGGAAGGGCGAGCGCGGGGGGCGCAGGACGCCCCGGCTCCCGACCCGCCGGGGTCTCCACCAACGCCCCGGCCCCACCGGGACCACCCAGGGGCCCCGGCTCCCCAGGGACGCGCGCTCCGGCTCCTCCCCGTCCCCATGGATACCGGCAGCGGCGTCCACCCTCCGCCCCCCGTCCCACCGGGAGCCCGGGCAGGGCCCCTCGCCCACAGCCCTGCCACGAGCCGGGGTGGGGGGCCTAGAAGAACGGGCGCTGGGGGCGCGGGGAGGGGCGCGTCCTGACCCCTGCCCGCCTCCCCCTCCCCCTCCCCCATTCCCCCTCCCCCCGTCCTCCCCCCTCGACGCCCCTCCCCGCCCCCCTCCCGCCGCAGGGCCCGGACCCGCGCTCGGGGCGCTCGGCCTTTGTCCGGGCAGGTGGCGCCGCGCTCACCCGGGCTGGGGCGCTCGGGCTCGGGGTCCCCGGGGGTGCCCGGCGCCTCCGTCCGCTCGGCCGCCTCGTCCCCGCCGCCGTCGGCGCGCGCCTCCACGGGCACCACGGTGAAGTTGGTGGGCATGGCCGCCGCGGAACGCACTCCCGCCCGGCCCGGGCCGCTCCCGCCGACGCCGCGGGACTTGGGCGCAGGGGCGGGGTCCGCCCGACCGACCGCCCGCCCGCCCCGCCCCGCCCGGCCACGTGACCGCACCTGCTGGCCTCCGACCCACGGAAAGCCGGCCCGCGGCGGGGCTGGGCCGGGCGAGTTCCCGCAGCGACCCCCGACCCGGGTTGTGCCCGCCCGACTGCCCCCGCCCGGGACGCGGGACCTTCGCTGCCTGCGCCCCGAACCTCCGCAGAGCCCGCGAATCCCCGCCCCGTCTCCTGCACCCCTTCCTGCTCCGGCCCCTCCCGCCCCCCACACCCCGCTCCTGTCCCTCCTGCACCCCTCCTGCTGGTTCCCCCACCCCTCCTACACCCCCTCCTGTTGTCCCCCTCCCGCGCCCCCACCCCCCGCCCCCGCCCCCCCCCGCTCCCCCCCCCTGCCCCCCCCCCCCATCCTCCAGCACCCACCTCCCACACGGTCCACCCACCCACTCTGGGCTGTCAACACCGGCCCAGATCCTGAGCTCCCAGCCTGGCTGCTAAGGCATCTCAGGTGGAAGAAGCCTTGGATAGCCTGCGGGGGGTCCTCTAGAGCTTGGTCCAGCTCCAGGTTAGGGACCTAACCCAGTAGAGGGAGTCCCCGCCCAAGACAGATGCTACCCACAAAGACCCCAGTCTCCTCCACCCCTACCCTGGAACCCTCCCTTCCCTCTTTGGGAAACGTTCCAGCAGCGCACAGGGCGGGGCAGGGAAGGTGGAGTTCCAGAGCCCCGAGGGCATGCACCGGGACACCGCCGGCCTATTGCCCGCCAGCACCACGCACCCGTGCACCGGGACACCGCCGGCCTATTGCCCGCCAGCACCACGCACCCGTGCACCGGGACGCCGCCGGCCTAGTGCCCGCCAGCACCACGCACCCGTGCACCGGGACGCCGCCGGCCTAGTGCCCGCCAGCACCACGCACATTTCTCAACAAATGACTCGTGAAAAATGGAACAATCAGAAGTCTGTCAGTGGGGAATTGGGCTAAAATGCTATAGCACACAGGTGCAGTGAGTCAGCCTGTATTCATCATCACCGCAAACTGCTTTACAACAACAAAGCAGAGCACAGGTGGTGTGGGCAAAGACGGCCACAGCCTCCTGTCATGTGGAAAGTGAGCGTGGCCGGGCCATGTTTTAGCAGCGTGCCAGCCTAATCCTAAAAGGCAGCTCGAGGGGTTGAGGCCTTGGGGCTGTGGGATCACAGGGCTCTGTGGGGTCAAAGAAGGCAAGCCCGACCTCTCCAGCCATTTCCAGTAAAGGCAGGTGTGCCCTGGGTGGCCCAGGGTTCTACCCCTGCCCCATGGGCTTTTCCGGGCAGAAGCTGGAGGCCTGGGCCCTTCCTGGAATGCCCCCCATCCAGCACCAGCCCTCTGCAGAGGTGGGGGGCCTCTGGCCTGGGGGCCCCCAAAGGGAGCTCAGGGCTGTGGATGGTGCTGGGTCAGCTGCCTCCCTGGGTCAGCTGGACAGAAAGTGGGAAACCGCCGCCTCCCCAGAAGATAAATGGTTCCCAGGCATCCTTATGAGGAGGGTTGGCTTTGCTGAAAAGACCCGGGGGGTGGGAACAGAAGTGCCCAAGGGGGTCGATGATAGGGCTCACACTTAGGGTGCTGAGTAAACCCTCTCCTCAGTCACCCCGACAGGGGCTTCTGCACATTCAGCCCTGGTCGCCACCCAGCACCATTGCCAGGGTTGGACAGAGCTCAGGGTGGGCACGGGGCCTCACCAGGCGATGCCAAGCTGGCTGCAGGCCCTCAGAGGGGCTGGCTTGGAGGGTCTGTGGGCAAGGCCGGCTCTCAGACTCAGGACTCATCAGCTTCGTTTTACAGAGGAGAAAACTGAGCTGGGGAGTTTAGGTTCTTGTGGCAGCTCCGAGCGGTGACTTCTCAGAGATTAGAAAATCTTGGCTAGGACCTCGGGCGGTGGCTGGAGCTCCCTCTGGTTTAAATCTTAGATGCCACTGAAGGGAGGCCTGGGGTGGGGTGGAGGTCTGCCTTGCGCATTTTAATTAGGTGAGTCATGACACAGGGTCAGCACCCTGTGAGCACCTGCAGGTCAAGACAGAGAACCTTGCCAGAGCCCAGATGCTGCTGCAGGCCCCTCCCATCCGTCAGGAACCCGTCCCTGGGGGCCTGGTCGCTTCCTTCCTTTGCTCTGTGGGTGTCCCGGCCTGGGTACATCCTCCCACACGGCAGCCTGGGGTTAAATGTGTCTGCGTGACTCAGTGCTGTCTTCCTGCCCACCTCCAGCCTCGGTCCTTTCTGCACACGGCACCTGTGGTAGGAACCTGCCCTCGGACACGTGGAGGTGCCTGAGGCCTGGGTCGGGGTTGCATCTTTCCGTGCCAGCTGTCCGGCTCTCAGGCCCCTGTGTCTCCTGGAAGTGGCCACTGGGGTCCAGGTGCCTGCTGGGATCCAGGTCCAGTCCCCTGGCAAGGCTGGGGCTTGCTCTCAGAGGGAGCCTCGCGCTGCCTGGAGGGATCCCCCTGTCAGCAGTCATCCGTGCCTGATTTCTGAATCGACAGATCCGTGGAGCTTGCAAAATAGTGATTTTCTAGTGCATTGTGTGCTGTCATGAATTCACCGGAGGCAGAGGCTCATCCTCTCCTTCTGGCCGTCTGGTAATGGTGCCCACAGGAAAGGCAGGGCAAGGGTGCCTTTCCCTCACTCGTCCGTTTTCACGATGGTGAGTTGGTCCCTGACGATCTCCCACAGGTATTTACACATCACTGATGAAGCAGGTCGGTGGGTCTCTGTGGATCACCACGAGTGTCCTTTCCAAACATCGGTGTCCAGCTTTGCCCAGCACAGCATCTTCAAATGCAGCCTCCCATCCTTAGATGTGAGCCTGGTCGGCTGCTGTGGCCTCTCGGCCGTGTGCAGGGCACAGCTGGGGAGCCCTGGAAGTTAGTGCAGAACTGTGGCCGATGGTGGTTAGAATCTGTGTGTAGATTCTCAGAACGGTTCCTGCTGCCTGCCGCCCTTCGGTGGAGTTTCTAATTGATTAGCTCGGACACTCGTGCCCACGGCTGGGAATTGAATAGGGGTTGTGGCCTGGGAGGGCTCTCACCACCACCAGGCGCAGGCCGCCTCCCAGAGTCCGTGTGCCTCTGACACGCAGCTTCCCCCCAGGTCCGCGGGTCCCCCCAGCCCTCCGTGTGCCTCT